TTGATTAGCAATAGCAACCGAATCGAACTATCCATCTCAAGCTGAAAAAAATTTACCAATGTACCAATTGTTTTTTCATTATATATATTTTTTAATTGTCAAATTTTGATAAAAATTGCAAATCTTACAATTTAGAAATCAGTAAGCAAATTTTGTAAGCTAATAAGAAACGAATTTAGATGTGATTGTTTCTTAATTCAAACAATCTAATCAAATTGCAAAATTTAAAGATATACATAATTCGGTCTTCTGAAGATTATATTTCCTTCTAGTTTTAAATAAAATTTGTTATTTTAGTGTACCCGGCACAGCATTTCAAGGCGAATCCCACTCGAGTCCTTGCATTATTGATGCGTTCCTCTCATTCTGTACTGTCGTTGTTTTTGCAGGTTCTTGTGCGTGTTTTTTTCCGTGCTGTTTTGTTTGTCAAGTTGAATGAACATATTTTGCCTTGACATACATTGCATTGTTAGCAAACAAGGGTGTCAAAGGACCCCAGTTTGCCACGCCCCCGAAATCCACCGAAAGCCACCAGCCCCCTCCTGCCATCCCCTCCCACTTCAATGTGCAGCCACAGAAAATGCTCAAGCTCCTCGTCATGTACACAGGGGCAGTGGGCGTGGGGTGTTGCATGGCGTGCGTGTGGTGTGTGCATAGTTTTTGTTCAAACAAACACGCAGCTTGTACAAGAAAACCAACAGCGGCAACATCGGCTACATCGGCTACATCGGCAACAGCAACAGCACCAACAGCAACAATAATGACGTTTTGACTGACAGACAGCAAGAGTAACAAGTACACAAGACCATAAGACAGTTGGACATAGGGCTTTGGAAAATGGAGAAAAGAGTGCACAGCGAAGGAACAAAAAACTTTATTGCTAACAAGAGCAACAGCAACACCATGAACAGGATTCCGAACAGGGGAAACCCTAATGTTTTTCACAAACTTGTCCGTGTTGCTTGTTTGCTTAGGATGTTGTTGCTGTTTTCTGGAAATTTTTCCGGCTCAATGTTGCTGCTAGTTTGTTTTTTCAATTGTTGCTCCTGAGTGGTTGCTTTAGTGTTAATCATTTCATAATGTTTTTGCTCCTGCAATATTTCATTTCTTTTTTCTATTGTTGCTGTTAGTCTATAGATATTTTAAATAAAAGGTTTTCTTTTATTTTAGAGTTCTCATGAACTGATTTGTTGGCGAAGAACTAATAAAAGTAGTGTTAATTTGAAATGTTATGGAAAGCTACTGCTTACAGCTTTTGACTTATATGTCTGTGACAGAATTATTGTTTTAAAAGAAAAAATCGATATTCCTGTTGTAAGTATCAAAATGCAGACTTTAACAATATAGAGATGTCAAGAAAATATGTATTTTTTCAACATACTTTACTTTATGTTTACTTGTTAAATTTCCTGACTTTTCACACATGACTTCACTTTTTCAAAACAATTGCGCATCGAATATTTCGCCACTTGCCATTGGTAATATTTTTAATTGGTTATTTACCTGGAAAAAATATAAAATAAAATATAAACCCATTATTTTAAATCACAAAAATCTTTACTTGCTAATTGCTGCATCGATAAATTGCAGAGCAACCAAAGATGCATGTCCGTTAAGGCTCCACCCCACTTGTGTGCATTTCAGAACGAATATATGATTCGGTCAATTGCAGAAAGCAATCAACTCTAAAGGCTCTTTATGGGGCAGATGCGGCTTAAGTTTTGGGAAAAAGAAAGGCGAAAGGATTCGGGAGAAAGGCTTCAGACTAACAGTGAAAAAGTTCTCGTGCCGAGAATGGCAACTGAGGTTGACTGACAGCTGCACTCATTGAGGCAATTTGCTTAAGTTACAAATTGAAATATTTGCATTTTATCTTAGAAATGCAAATTCCCTTTCTGCGAGATTTGCCCAACTCTGTCCGCCCACTGAACGAGAACGAGTAGGATCTGCCCAATGGCAAACAATGCCAAACAAATTGGCTATTCAAATCCGCAGACGCCACATGAACAGGGGCAGGGAGGTGGGAGCAGAAGTAGAACCAGGAGCAGGCTGTCTAAGAAAGGTCGTTTGTTGGGGTTACAATTTATGCGTTTGGCCCCAGGAACGTTGAATGCATTTTGCAATTTTCATGGCCTGCCCCTGGAATTCTTTTTGTAGCCCTTTTTCTGCTTTTTGCTGCAACTGCAACTCACTTGGCAGTGGTCCTGCAGCGAGCTCTCCGGCTCCTGATCCTGCAGCAACAAAAAGCCATTAAGATTACTTTCTATGGGCCAGATTTAAAGGCGAGGTTCGGTGTGGGTTCTCAGTGGGTTTGTGGAGGCGGTTTAAGCCCATGACGAGCCTCATGCCAACGACAGACGGCGACGACTTGGGAGATTTTGTGATTCCGCCTCCTGGTCCTCTTGTAACTACGAAGCATTCAGTCTAGAACTGCAGGCGAAGATGTACGGTGAAAAAATATAATCATAAATATTTATTATTCTATTTTTGTATAATAAACTCCTTTGACTTGAAGAATTTAATTCATTTTTAAGCAGGAGTTCCCCGGAGAATTAACAATTTTATTCACTATTGCTAGCTCTGCTAAACTTCTTTTTTCGAGTGCATTAGAAGAGTGGTGGTGGTGGTGCTCTTGCTGGATGGTATATACAAAAGCCCTGGCAGGCAAGCAGCTTCAATAAATGCCAAGCCCTTCCACCATAAAGTAAACGATTGATGAGGTTAGAAAACTGAACAACACTTCAACACAATGCCACACCCACTTCCACTCACACACCCACTCACACACATGCACAGAGACCACACCAACAAAGATAGGGAGATCCTTGCACACTTTGTTGGTTCATTTAACTGCAATGGCAGCAAATTTTTTACTCACAAATTGTTCTACGAGCTAAGCAAACTGCTTGAAAGGAAGAGATACTGTTATGGTTTTAAGAGAAGGGGGGAAGGAAAGGGTACAGGGATAACCGGACTGGAGTATCCTTTAGTGATGTAATTAGAAACATTTTATGAGCTGGGTGGAAAAGCAAGCCAGCAAAGAGACATAGTATGTTTGAATAAAGATAATCTGAAAGTGGCTCAGGAAATATATAATCATGTTCGTGATTGAATCTGATACACAATATATCAGCTAAGTCAAGGGAGAAAAATGAGTTTCGATAATACACATTTCTCTACCAATCGCTATGACTTTATCCAACAGCTCTGCTTTGACAAAACTTCACCAAGAAATACGTATACAGTCCACATAATTATTCTTCTTCTAGGGTAAAACCACAGATTTTCACCTAAGCTCTACCATTTTACATTTTCCTCACCCCCTGGTGAGTTTTTGGTTGTGTAATTTCAGGAGAATTTTCTTTAATGGCTTTCTTTGGAAACAAAAGGCAGACCAAACGCCACCGAAAGAGAAGGAGAAATTTTCAATTCAAAAGCAAATTGTCTTTTATTTCAAGCTCATTAGCTTTTAATGCAATTTTATGCGGACCAATGCCTCTAAATTTTTGCCACGTGCCAGGCAGATATCTAAAAAAACAAGGAAACAAAATAACGGAAAGTAATGTGGAAAAGTCGCAGGCATCCGCACATCGTTTGCATTTTCATTTTCATTTCACATATGTAAGTGACTGACTGACTGACTGACGGACTGGTTGTGGGTGCTGTTGCTTTCTTGCACCATATGTTTTGTGGATTTACAAAATTGACTTTTGTCGTCATGAATTAATTTTTATTCTGTGTTCTCTCCTGGTTGTTTCTTCGCCTCTGCGGCTCATCTTCCTGGTCGTAAGTGTGTGGGTAGGCGGGGCAATGTTGTTGGCATTTTTTTGCGCCTTTAACATTTTATGTAAATTTTCTAAAATATTTATGGAAATGTAGCAGATTGTGACTGGCGACTGCCTCAAAATGACGGCAGACAAGTAAATACATTTACATAAGCACACACGAGAGTAGCAGCCTCTGTCTTGCTCTTCCTGTATTTGTGCACAGAGGAAAACTGGGGGAAAATCTAAAATTACTAAATAGGGTCAGTTCTCGACATAATTTTGATAAATAATATCTCAATTTAGTTACAAAAATTAATGAAAATATTGAAATATGTAAAGGTATCTATGTATCAGGTCATTTTGATACTTATGGATATCTTAGCATCGGCTTCCAGTGTAAGTGAGTGTCATTTGTGTAGCCCACAGACAGTCAGAGACATCAGCATAAATTTTAAATAAATGCTACACAGAAAAGGGAATATTAAATGTTGTTTTTGGAAAGATCCCTCAGTCTAAATGCCTGCTCCAAGGTCCTTATATTTTATTCCAGCAAAATCTTGCTGCTGCTCTGCGGCTCTTCTTTCAGCTCCGTCTATACTTTTCTCCTTTTTTTTGGCGACAGTTGAAAGGTTAAACCAATTTAAGCTGGGAAACCTGGTACCAGAAACAAGAGTTCACTTCCACTCGGTGGAGACCTTTCCTTCTGTTGTTGTCGATGACGTTTGCATTTTCCATTCAAGAGCTTGCCACGTTGTTTTTCTATTCTTTTTTTGTTTGTGGAATGAAGGCAAAGCCCCACTGAAACTCAAATATATAAATGAATATTTTGCACATTTGAATATATAGGGAAGAGACTGGCTGGCGATAGTTGTCTGGCTATCAGTTTACTTTGCGCTGATTTTGCACTTTTCCTTTGTACATTGTACGGCAGGGAAAAGCTATGGGGAAATGGCGAAGAATGGAAGAGCATATGTAAATGTGTTTGCCAAGTGGCAAGGCGACAGTTTTATTGAGCTTATCTTGGCTTTCGCATTGTTGAAGAGGAGCTTGCAGCAACCAAAAACGACCCACTGACGGACTGACAATTGCTTCTTGAAGCTCTGGGTAAAAGAAACTAAAAAATATCTTCTAAATATGGCAGGAAACAAAAAAATGTATAAACATATATATATATGCAACACAAGCTGTGCTCAGTGGAGAAAATTATGATACTTTAAGCTCGGATTTTACGAATTTCAACTTCCTGTTGCTCGGGGCAATGAGGAAGCACTGGAGAAATTTTCACACTATTTGCCTGTAAAAAGTACCCTTTTGAAATAAAACAAATTTCGAACCTTTTTCGGCACCACCAACTATATTTCGTGGCACTCGCAACCAGGAAACATGGGGGACGTAATGAATGTGGACAGCATTATAACGCGGCTTCTAGAGGTCCGCGGATCGCGGGCCGGCAAAAACGTGCAGCTCCTGGAGGGCGAGATCCGGGCCCTGTGCCTGAAGTCCCGCGAGATCCTCCTCGCGCAGCCCGTCCTGCTGGAGCTGGAGGCGCCGATCAAAATCTGCGGTGACATCCACGGCCAGTACTACGACCTGCTACGCCTCTTTGAGTACGGCGGCTTTCCGCCGGAGTCGAACTACCTGTTTCTGGGCGACTACGTGGACCGCGGCAAGCAGTCGCTGGAGACCATTTGCCTGATGCTCGCCTACAAAATCAAATATTCGGAGAACTTCTTCATACTGCGGGGCAACCACGAATCAGCCAGCATCAACCGCATCTACGGCTTCTACGATGAGTGCAAGCGGCGCTACAGCATCAAGCTGTGGAAGACCTTCACCGACTGCTTCAACTGCCTGCCGGTGTCAGCCATCATTGACGAGAAGATCTTCTGCTGCCACGGCGGCCTGAGCCCCGACCTCACCTCCATGGAGCACATCCGGCGCATCATGCGACCCACAGACGTGCCCGACCAGGGCTTGCTCTGCGACCTTCTGTGGTCCGATCCCGACAAGGACACCGCCGGTTGGGGCGAAAACGATCGCGGCGTCAGCTTCACCTTTGGCGCTGAGGTAGTGACCAAGTTTCTGCACAAGCACGGCTTCGATCTCGTCTGCCGGGCCCATCAGGTGGTCGAGGACGGCTACGAGTTCTTCGCGAAGCGTCAACTGGTCACGATCTTCTCGGCGCCCAACTACTGTGGTGAGTTCGACAACGCCGGCGCCATGATGTCCGTTGACGACACACTCATGTGCTCGTTCCAGATCCTGAAGCCGGCGGAAAAGAAAAAAAAGTAGGATCTGGTACGTCACGACGGTTGCCACTCCAACCAAATTGTTTTACATCAAAATTTTTAATAAATGTACCATGTTATACAAAAATTTAATTAGTATCGAAGCTCGATTTACTTAATATACAGATTAGTGCGGGAGCAACAACGCTCTTACAACAGAATTACTTTGGGAGGTGTTCGCGATCTCCTTCTGCTTCTCCTTTCTTTCTTAATATTTATTATATATATTAAATTAAATATACCAAAATACAAGTTGAGATATAAACAAACATTTTATTTGTTACTTTATTAAGTAAAATCCGTTCTTTTTTTCTTTTGCTGTCAGAAAAGTTTGAAATGTTTCTCCTAAAACAATTATTTATACAAAGATGTCACCAGCTTAGACCTTCTTTCATTTAAACTTTAACAACTGGAATGGACTTCCTCTTCGTTTCCAACTCTCGATTGTTTTTCATTATTCTCCGCTTTATTTCTGTGTATTATTCCGGACTTTCTCCCCACTCTCTCCGCTGGCTCCTGGCTCCTTGGAAAAGTCTTGACTTGTAAAGGAAGAGAAGTTCTATTGTCGTGGAGCTGCATTTAGAATGCATTTTAATTTACCATCAACAACTTTGCCATTTCACTGCCTTTGGAGTGCTTCGTGTCGATTTGCATAGTTGTTGTTCCCAGGAGAACTTCTCAAAGTATATACATATGTACGTGGAATCAACAGTATATATGTATACGTGTTTACATTTGCCGAGAGCCATGTTAATATTTCTCACATCTAATAAAGTTTTTCCCGACTTGGCTCCGTGCCATCATCAAAAGTTGTTTTTGCTTTTTGCAACTATCCATTGGAGGACGAAGAAACATTACCTGCAAGGATATCTCTTCCCTCTAAGCCATCATTTTTTTTACCTCTTGCTATCCTCCCCCTCGTCTAATACGCTTAATCAAATGTTTATCTTTGCAGAGTGGGGGAAAGGGTGGTTGCTGGAGATTCTTCTGATTTTTTCCCATTTATTTTCGTGCGCATAGATTATGTAAATTTTACTACTTTCACTTCGACATTTTCATTATGTCGGACCCATAGACAGAGTCACTGTCTCACCTTCTTTGCCCCAAAGGCTCCTCCTTCCTCTGACTGTGAAAAATTGCGCTCTCATTTCGAAGGAAAGACAGCTGGGGCGAACAAAAATATACAAAAAATGCTGCTGCTCAGTGAACGTATTTAAAATACTTGCACATAATTTATTTTCGCGCGAATACAAATCATTTCATTTTCGTGCCAGTCACGATGGTGGCAAAGTGTAGCATATCTTACGGCGCCAGGCCCATTAAAGGCAACGCCTGATGATGGTTATATTACATTAGCTGCAGGCAGAGCCGAGAGCACAGCCACTCCAGCGAATAGTATAGTGACTCGGTGTGTGCTAAAAAAATAAGTAAAATGAAAATAAAGTGTAGCCTAAAAAGGGGACGTACAATCACCCCCGACTACAACGCAATGAATATGTAAGGAGTGGAAAGTGAAGAGAAGTTCAGAGTATACTCGACCCGGGAGTGAGTTCTGCTCAGGTTTCTGAATATAGGTTAAGGGAGAGATGGAAGGAAGCTCCGAGGGTAAAAGATTGGCTCGATAATTCCATATGTGACCTTTATTTATAAAACACTATGTTATAATTCTAACTAGGTTCTTGTGAAACATCATATGTCCACTAAATGAATCAATGAATGAATGAAAAGTAAAAGCAGCTTTTTACGAAAATTTCTGAGAAACTTTCTCCCAGACATATTAACCGTATCCTTTGATTCCCCAGAGCTACCCTTGTTAGTTTGGGGAAAAATTCAGTCAGGCCTCTGCTGCGAGAAACACTTTGTGACGCCTTTAATGGTGTGTGTGTGGGAAAATATTTGAGTGTGTGTAGACACTTGTATCTTGGCAATGCTCATTAGGATAGTGCAAGTAATATGAAGAGTTTACTCCAAGGAGAGATGGAGCAGCACACTGCTTCAAAATGTTAGGGCTTATGGAGTGAATGCGTAATTAAATTCCTTGCGAAAAAAACACAACAACGAACGAACGTGTCACCGAACGAAACCAGGTTGTCTGTCAGGTGTAAATTCAACTGAAGTGTGTGTGAGTGCGTGTTGTGGGAGAGCCACATTTGCATAGCATTTAATGGGAACTTTAAGGTGAAAGACCTGTGAAAAGTTAAGTGATTGGAAAATCCCAATCTAGATTTCCACTGTGAGTTAGGGATGGACAAATAAATCGGGCTTGAAACTCGATTGAAAATCGAAGCAATCTCTTAAAACTTACATAAGCAATATAGTTTAATATTGTACATTAATTATATATACAATTGAATTTTTATTTAACTATCGTTAATATAAATAGATCATAACAAAATAAAACAGAATTGATTTAATACTTTAAATGTCAATACTTTTTTCATAACGTTATAATTTTGAAATCGATACTAAATATCTATATTTTTGCAACGTTTAAAATGTCGCTACCTATTTCGGTAAGATATTTCCTTTAAAGTAAAATCTGACTCGCATCACCTCTTGTGAGTGTGACTCTGGGGTCCTCTGACCCGGACAAACGCCCACACATGGATATTTAAGCACACACAAATCAAAGTCAAACGCAATGCCTGTGTGAAATAATACCCTTATCTGTTATCTTATCAACCGATAAGGGGGGTTTCCCCTTTCCATTTTGTTAGACAAGCATCCACAACGAATGTCTGGCAGTTGGACAGGCAGGCGCCTGTGACACTAATTGCTTGACCTTTTTTCCTTTGTTGGCCCGCCATTGTTGACCTTTGAACGCGGCTCGAATTTGCATGCGACGACCCACCATCATCGCATATTTGCCCCTCGCCGCTCTGAACTTTCTATGGGACCGAGGCACCGCCGAGACCACGACCATGGCTGACCCCACCAACATTGACAAGGCAGCCGTGTTGACATGGATAAACCACTTCAAGTCAAGTGCACACAAGCCCAAGTCGAAGAGCCCCGGCCCATCGGGCTTCCCTTACCCGTACCCCCATTCTATTCCTCCGGGGAAAATCCATTAGAAATTTTCAAACCAAAAAAAATCGAGGAGAAAAAAGAAGTTGGAAAAGTCATGGTTGATATAAAGTTGAAATAAATGTTGTTGCTTCAACCGCTGTGACTGCGGCTGGCGGAAACTTTTTGCGGCTGCAAGGCTAACAAGAATTGGTCATGAAGTTTGTATTGCGCTTAATAAAAGATTGGTATAAATTTTAAATTTAATATAAATGCGAAATACCACTAAAGTTTAGTGCTCTATTCGGAGAGAAGTTCGAGTTGGAGAATTATGTATTGATGTATTAAGGTGGTGCCACAATGTCACCAATTTTTTCAGAATAGAATAAGAATAATTTGCTGGAGGAGTCTGGGATAAATTCCTGATGAAACTCTATATATTAGTTTAAAAGTAAGTGTAAAATATTTCCTTTATTATTATATTTTCATGTTTTTTTTTATTTCCTTAAGATTTACAAGTTTTGCTGTAGAATGCATAAGATTCAAAAAAGTCTCAGAACTCCTACAGCTCTTATCCCCCCGATTGTGATTCTAATAAGCCAAGTTCCTTCCTCTTCTTCTGCCAGCTAACTTGCATTCGCAATCTCTTAACCCTCTTTGGCCCCTCCGAAACGGAGTCAGCAGCGGCAGCTGCCGGCGACAATATGCATGGCACTTATTGCCACTTCAGTTGGCATGCGAACCAGGCTAATAGCAGGGGCCACGCCCCTCGGGCCCATCTGTTTTCCTCACCGAGCTCACCTCGGGGGCACACCTGCAGAGCTTGGCAAAAATTTTATTTGCTCAAGCTGAAGCAAAGTTCTGCCTGGGGAAGCGCAACAGAATCTGAAGCTTCCTTGTCGTGTCGGCGACACTTTTTGGTTTTTTATGCGGCACATGCCTCCTGCCCCCTGATGTCTCCGATTTAATACACTGATAAATAATAGAATAAAATATAATAATACCATAAGCAATCCGAAATTCTTTTATACATTTCTTTGTTACCATATTTAAAATATCATTTAAATTAAATGCACTTACTTGGCATGTTAAAACCATAAAAAGTTCCTTGTCCGATACACAATAATATTTGTTTTACCCTCCCTACCATTTTACCCGTGAAAAACTTAGCTTGCTGTTGGAAAAAACAGAAAGCGCAAAAAATAAAGAAGGTTAAGAAGCATATAAAGTAGTAGCCGGGTGAAAAACAAGGGGAAATGCAGTGCAGCCATGTCCAAAAATCTCGGCAGGTGTAAGGGCACACATGCACAACGTGTTGCACAATGGCAGCTGCAACGTTGATATTAAATTTACCCCAAGCTTCCCTCCAAGTTGTTGCTATAGCATTATAACCCCACAGAATGCGCTTGAAAATTTATGCACTTGAGGGATTTTTTATGCTGCCCTTGCGCTTCCAGCTTTCCACTTTCCTCGCTTATATCCTTTATTTTATATTCATAATAATTATGTTGTGGCACCTTGATATATGAATATGCTTGCCACACTTTTATTAGATTTATTTCAGTAGAAGAAGAGTCTGTGATGGGGACATAAATATAAAGTTCAGCTTAGTTTTAAGGCAACCAAGAACTTTAAAGTTCTTTTTCATTTGGATTTTCCATCAAGCATTTACAGCATTAATGAAATTAATTCCGTGTAAGCTGCAGAGCTTCTTAACTTATTAATTCCTTTTAATAGCTTGTGGTGGCCCCTAGCAGGCGATTGTTCTGCAATTGCTTGACCCAAATTCACACCACACTCTATAAAAAGTATTTAAAATACACGCACATACGATGTGCACACGCGGCCAAAAGAAAAGCGTTGGTTTGGACCCGGGCTGTTAAAATTTTAAACAAATTTTTGCACATTTCCTGTTTGCCATTGTTTTTATTGTTTCCCTTTGTTATTGTTGTTTCCAGCTGCACTTGCAGCTTGACACAGTTTTCACAGTCACACCCATTTATTTACAATGTCAACGCGAGGCACGGGAGGGTGCGAGAAAGCCCATTTTCAGAGGCCTTTGTTGCTGCCACTGCCTAGCCTGGAAAGCCCACCCCTCCCACAGCAGCTATGAAATTTGCATGCAATTTTCAGCACAAAGAAAATAGCGAAACAGGCCGAACAGGCGTGGTATGAGAGTCCCTAGGAGAGTGGGAGACTGATTGGCTAACGCCTGACGACCTTGTCAAAGGACCTTGAACTGCCCTAACAATGGCAGAATCCAGACATCCCCATACCCGTTCCCGTTCCCATTCCCATTCCCAACTACCATTCCAAACGCCCCTTTGCTGTTTTGCTAGAAACCGAGTAATTTCTGCGGCTAATTAGTACGCAATTTGTGGGAGGGAATACTTCTGGGAGTGGAAATGGGAATTAACTGCCAAACTGGAATTAACAGACGAAGTGGAAATTGAATTTTAGCGGCCGAAGGTGGAAGTCTGTCATACAAATTAATGAGAAATAATTAGCATTAAATTCCAAGAATTAAAATAACTAGAGCTTGTAAAATACCAGAGTACTTAAAATCAATTTAGGGAAGATTTCTTTCGAAAAAAAATCTATAGATTTTACATTTAATAAGTTTCAAAATATATTATTTAATCCTTAGGTTGAAGTTAACAGGTTAGTTAGTCTTAACACCTAAATACTCCTCAGTTTCCTGTATCGACAGCCCACTGTAACTTAATTTTTCACCAAGTTCGCTTGTGCTTAGATGTGCTTTTGTACTTTATTGAATTTTAATTTGCACTTTGTGGCTTGCGGTCACCACGCCCCCGTTTTTCCCTTGCTCCCCAAGTAACGCCCTTTTGCTTGGACTTTCCACTTGAGGCACATCGTATCGCTTTGATTTCTTTTGCGATTTTCTTTCTGCACTCTATGGGTCTGACTTCTCTTTTGGGGTTTTTCTATTTTTTTTTTTTTTTTTGACTGCTGCTCGTTTGCCGAAAACCGCAGAGCGTGTGTGAAAATTGAAATGTCACCAGCTCAGTGTCGAGTGTGCGGAGTTTTCCTCCCAGTCCATCCCTTTTCCATTCTTGATACCCCTGCAACTGCAACGTCGTTCTTCGCTTTTCTGCTTGTCTGCCACTGACAGTCATTGACAACTCTAAAGGGGGAGGAAAGCTGGTTGGGGGAAAATACTGGGGAAAAGGCGGTGGGGGAAGGGCAGCGGGACCAGCTGCATTGCACGGATGCAGTGTTGCATGCCGGAGTCTGCACTTAGTGCTGACTCAACGCAATATAAGTTCTTATTTGCCAACAGACTTCACTCGGAGGATTTGTAATCGGGGAATCCCCGATATTTTGTGCTCTACTTGGATTAGGTCCAACTCAGCTCAGTAAACTTTGAGCTCAATTAGACGGATCACGACAAGCAATTAAAAATAAATATAGGGAGTTTCGGAAACTCTAAAGTAAATCGATGCATTAAGTTAGTCTCGATTTTTTACCTAATCGAAATGATTCAATTCCAAAACGATTCTGGCTTCATTTATTTTTTTATTTAATATTAATAGCAGTAAGAAGAGGTTTTTGTAAACATTTTGTAATTCAAATTTCTGACGTACCAAAAACTGTTGCCTACTTATGCGGGTCAACAGACAAGAAAATGCCATCTTGAATCATTTGAGTTCGTTATGGCCGAACCACACATTTTGTATTTTTTAAAGACGTCAGTCGACTGCCATTAGTTTTTCTTTTCCTTTCCCCCTCGGACTCCGGCCCCCGCTGACTTTCTCATTTTCCAGTGCTTTTTAGCACAAATCCTTTTTATTCGCCTTCTTTGGGAGTTTAAAACGTTTTGGACAGGATTTAGTTGCATGACTTTTTGCTTTTAGCATTTCACCCGACAAACCTCAAAGCCCCCTTCGCCCCTGCCCGCTCTCCGGTTTTCTAACTAACTGGACGGACGTTCCGACTGACCCCGGTGGGTGGTGGATATATCTGTTGTGCAGCTCCTCGATTCCCAGGACCAAACACGTTCCCCCATGGTAGGACGTGCACGGCATTTCCAAATACAAATACTATACATGTCCGGTTTTTTTTTTAGCCAAAATACCCCTTGGCTTCTGCTGTAAAATTCCACTTTAAAATATATTTTGGATTCGTTACTATTTTGCTTTGGCCATAGATTCCAGCCTAAATGAAAACTATTTTCGTTTGGTAAAATTTCCGAAAAAATATTTTTGCAATGCAAATCGATGAGTTAAAATAGTTGCAGTTTAAATGAATTTAATGAAATTGATATTCTTTTCGAAAATTTAAGACCTAAGCTTTGGGAAACATTAATTTTGCTATTGAAATGTATAGTCAAGTAACATTTTGAAAGCACGTTGTGATATTTTCTGCTTTGATTTAATTTCATAAAAGCGCTAAATTCTGCCTGAACCTCGACACCTTATTATCTACCTTTGCCGTGTTGAAATTAGCTTAGTGTCAGTCATAAGTTTTCCGTCTGCGCGCGGAGTTTCCTTGCTCGCCTCGTGCCAAGACATGTTGACACTTGCCAGGACAGGGGCAGGACCAGGATACCACTTACAGGATACGCGGGAGAGGAGAGGGCCGCATTTGCTCGCCTTTGTTTGCGGCGAAACTTTCTGCAGCAGCTTTTGTTAATTCGGTCAATATTTGCGGACGCACGAAATAAAAACGAAAACTCAGCGGGAAAAACTTTCAGCCAAAGTACAACAGAGCAGCAGAGGGAAAAGCTGGGAAAAAAAAGAGGAACAGAAGCAAAAACAGTTTCTATTTAACCCCTTAATGGCAGTTGGGCTACTGGATCTCAGGCTTGCTAAAATAAACTTATCAACAGTTGCTCAGTGGGGAACAAAAAAAAGAAGCGTGTATATATTATATATGCGTTTGAGCAACAGTTGCAGTTGTGTCCACCTGCGAGGCATGCAATATTCATGGAAAACGCAAATTTTGTTACGCGTATTTCATTAAGGTGACCCCCAGCCAACCCCTTCGCACCTTCCCTTCCCTTTCCCGCCCCAATATTGTTGCTTTGAGTCTTTATGCAAATACTGACCAGGAATAAAATTCCGAAAATAGCCAGGAAAAAAGAAAACCCCCAAATGGAATGAAATTTTTTCCCGAGGGCAGCCGAATTCCACTCCCAGAATCCAGAATCCAGGATCCAGAATCCGTGGGGCTTTCAGCCCCTCGAGCGTTAATTGCGATTCGAGTTGTTTATCCAACTTACCTGCTGTTTAGTTTGGCCTCACGCTCCAATTCTCCAACTCTCCAGTTCTCCAGTTCTCCGTTGCTCTTCTCTATTTCTCTGCTGCTCCCCGGTCTCGACTGGGTTAATTCTGAAAGCAACAACGGGGCAAAGTTGGTTTTTTTCGGCGTTAGTTAAATTTGTTGAAAATTATTTGCTTTTTGTGTTGTTGATGGGCGTGGGGATGGGGATGGGAACGGTCTCTGCAACGGTCTGGTTTTGCTTTGGTTGCTTCTTCGAGGAGCCTTAAGTTAATTAGTTGAATTTGCGTTGAAGAGTTTTGCTCTGTGTGTGAGCTGTGGGAATTTTTCCTAGTTTAATTTAGTGGATGCAAAAGTTGTGTCTAGCTTGCGAAAGCTGGGAAACCTGGAAAGGTAGCGAAGACGAACGATGGCTGAAAAACTTGTGGGGAAATTTTCCCCGATGAGTTTTAGGAATCTCTGGGAATTTTCTTTTTGGAACGGAGACGGAATTAACTCTTGTGGAAATTGAGCTCAGTTTTTATACATCTAAACATGTATTTACTTTACCCTCACTTTATTTTTGTGTATTTTGTTATTGAACGAATTATCAATATTTGTAGTTGGTCTGATCCTAAATTGTTATCGATATTTATTATATAAACTTTTGTCAGAAATTGTTAGTTGCTCGTACAAACAAATTGTAAGTTTTGCCTGCATTGAGATACATATTTTTATTGAATGTAATTTTACATATTTTCACAAGATTTCCGCTTCAACTTTTGAGGGTGAAACACACAGACAAATTTACATAAATCAACTCTGGGCCAGTATTCTCGCTATCTGGTTCTTCGCCTCTCCTTTGGCCCCCTCCAGTTGCGCCTTCTGCCTTGTTTTGTTAGCCAATTTTCAGTGTTGGCTTCTGCTGGCTGCTTGCTGGCCATAACAAACAACTGACCATAAATAATCAAATCTTATACACAATCTGCAAACAGATTTTGCGTTTCTAATAAATTTCACTTTGCCAGCCACACAGAAAAAAATATGTAAAAAACAAATAACAAAGAGAAAAAACCCGAAAAGGCACCAAGACTTGGGCAAACACTTTTTGTGCGTCAACAGACGGCAAAAAAATATGTATACAAATTTATATTTATGGAAGATGTCGGTCACATACCACACAAAGAATGTATATTATAATATACAGCAACGAGCAAAATATTAGGAGTTAAGATTAGCTTTAGGGAGAGATTAAATTCACGCATTGTAAAATCTTCATATTTATTCCGCTTTAATTTAATTTTCAATTTTCCCCAGTTACAGTATTCAATTCTTTTCTTCAGCTGTATATTGTATAGTAAACGTTCTCTAAGATAGATGTTTATCTATAGTCTGTTTGCCTCGTGCTTAATATTGGAAAACCAGATAGGCCAGAAAACTATAAAGGAGAGTGGGCAAGGTGGAACCAAAACAAATTATGGCTCACTGAGTTTCTAAACGCTTTTTCTCTTACTCTCCCATCACCCAGTATTTATCTCTGCCTGCTTGTGTGTGTCCTTTCCTGTCAAGGACACGTATATTTATTTGGTGTGAAAATGTGGTTAGAAGTCAATAACATAATAAAAACGTTGACGTCGAAGGTCGAAGCCGAAGCTGAAGCTGAAGCCGAGGAATGGCTGCGTTAGACACATGAAACCGCAACGGGAGATGGTGGGCCCCGGGAAAAATTTATGAAAATTGTCTGAGCCGGTTATTGGAAGACCCAAAAGAGAAACAGGGTTGGAGAGGGGAGAGCGCTTGAAATTGAGGTTAAGGGAGAGTTTCTGTTCCCGAAACTTTCATTGCATAACAATAGGCGCAATGGCGAACCGCAGGGCGCATTTAAATTTAAATACCTGCAGCCAGAGCCGCAGGCCAAAACGAGAAGCAAGCGGAAAGGCGAGTAAAAAGTTTTCTGCGTTTTCTGGCCATGTAATGAAAGTCCAGGCATTTTCCCCCCCTCCCGAACCATGTTTTCCCTTGGAAAAGTGGCTCGTGGTCGTTGGCACGTGAAAGAAAAAGTGCAGGTGGCTTTCGTCCCTCTGTTTCGCATTTCCCCGTGTCTTTGGTCCACTCTCCTCCATTCTCGCCATTCCCCACACCCACAGCAGAATAAATAAACTTCAACTTTTTGCTGGCCACAATTTCTGTTTCTGGTTTTTGTACCCGTTACGAGTACTGCGTTTACGGGTATACCACATTTTAAAGTTTAAAAAATCGTAGTCTACTTATTTAAAAATGTAGATATAGTAAAAACTAATATGCATACTTTCAAAAGACAGATAATTAAATCGAAACTACATTTTAAACTAAAAGTTAAGCGCTTCAATTGCCAGGTATTTTGTAGTCGTTATGGTTAAACCTAACCATTCCCTTTTTTCCTTGACCACCGACCAAAAGAAATATCTAAAACTGCGACAGAACGGGAAAGTACGTAAAACAACAATAACAAATGGCTCAGAAAAATGGGCTAAAGCGTAAGAAGCCACAGAAATGGTAATAAGAGCTGCAAAAATTTCGCTTTCTCTTCTTTATATTATGTATATATAAGCATACATTTTTATTATTATTTTCCAGCAGCCAAGTGGGTGGAAAAATGCTGTTAAGCTTTAAAAACGTTGGCGGCACTCACGATGTGAGAGTAATTGAGAACAAATAAATGCAAGTGAGGACGACCGGGTGAAGTGAGGGGGAAAATGGAGGGGCAGAAAAAAAAACAGCTGAATAATGTGGGGAAAATCAAGCGAAATATGAGAGAATGAGTAATGAAATGGACGTATTAAAGAACGAAATTCTTTTACATAAGACAAGAAATAAATCAATGACATTTCACAAGGCAGTTTTCATTTCAAAAACACACTGTGAGAAATAAGCCAAAGGTAATTTTTTTAAATCGCTAACGATTTAAGTATTAATGTTTTGTGACTTTTCAACAATTTCACTCCATTTTGCTAATGACTTTAATATTTACTTAACTTTGCTTCGCGAAAAAAAAATTCCTAGAAAAAACTACTGTTTCTTTTTCGTTGACAACTTTTTCCAGGCAAATTAAAGTTTTATTCTCTCCCCCACGAGGAAATGTGAGCAGTCAACCCGACTCCTATTTCGCTTTCAGTTTCTTTTTGTTTTTTGTGTTACTTTCTTCAATCAAATTAAGTAGAGCCAAGTTCTGGGAGATCCACAGATTTATTTGCATGTTTGCTCCTCCATCGAGTTTATCCATTTTCCCGCGTCTCCTTGTTCTCTTGCTCATCCTGAAACTACACAGGATGCGTCCTGATAAGGTTTACAATTTGCTTTCCATTTGCTTTTCCGCTTCTCCAATTCATACATATAGATGGACTGGAGCCTGCTGCTCAATTTCATTTTTACGCTCTCCAATTTTCAGGTTTCTTTTCGCTTTTCATTTCTGTTTTTCTTGTACATTTGCGCTCTTTGTTTTTATTTACTTTCGTTTTTTACTTTTTTTTTTTTTGGTATATATTGTTGGTTCATTGTCTGCTTCTACTTTCTCTATGTCGCCGCCCCGCATCCGTCTGCCCTTCGGGTGGGTGATGATGCTGACATAAATCTCTGATATATGGCCTTGCTGCTGCTGCTGCTGCTGCTGAAGCGATAAATTTCCAGCTCGACTGTTGACGCTCAGTTCTATGCATTAAAATCCTTTCATCTTTCCCCCGCTTCCCTCTGTCTCTTAAAGCTTCTCTGACTTTTGATTCTAAATCAAATCAAATCAAAAGTCGCTCGTTCTTTTCCGGGGGCGTTACGAGTGATGGTACAAAAGTCATTATGAAACAAGTGTTGGCCGCTTTCCCGGCGGACACTTGAGCATAATTAATGCGATGCCACGCCCACAGACGACGCCCCGCCAAACAGAGGAAGTGGCTACCGGAATGGATCCTCCTACCCTGGGATTTTCCCCCAGCTTCCACGCTGTCCCCTTGGTTTTTCACTCGCAATTGTCGCTCCCAAATTAATTTGTATAATTTTGGAGTAACAATTTGGGGTAGGGAAGCGAGGTTTGGGAAATACAAGCAGAGGAAACTTATTCCCAGGGGTCTTAAAACCCCGGCAGCATTCAGATGAAGTTTGGCGGCCCCAAAAAGTAGGCAATTATTTTGTAGGCCAAAGAACGACCAAGGAAAATGAGAAAAATACGGGGCAACAGCAGGTAACACAGTTCGCAAAAGTTGTAAATAAGAAAGAAGAAAACTAAAAAAGCTTAGGTTGAAATTTAATTAAATCAATAAGGTCATTAGCAAAGTATGGAACGTCGAAGTAATTAATAACTTCGCTTAACCAAAACTATTTTCAAGTGAAAATATAAAAGTTCCAGCTTAATCCCTGCCTAACTATTTACCGAATGGCTTTCCACTTTGTAAATTGCTTTCAGCATCAGCTTCTCCGCTGGCCACTTGCAGTCTGATTAATATTAAATAGGAAACGGCAGGCGCTTTTAACTATCTCTCGTCCCCTTTACTTGCACTTCCGACCACCTATCAATTGCAATCAAGATGTAAATGCCGTTACTCAGGGGAAACTCCGGGAAAACTACGGGAGAAAGTGCCCCCTGAAATTGCATCGGATGGAAAGTCGATGTTGCAACACTTGATTGACTTTCACAGCACATTTATTTTAAAGCCCTTAGAGCTTCCGTTGGCCGCAAAGCCAACTTTTCAACGACTTGGCTTAACTTTAAACTGCCAGCAATGGCTAAAAAGTAATTCGTGGCCAACACACACACACACACATACACACTCCAAGCTCAAGCCCGAAGTTTGCAAAGTTTCCTCAAACTGAGCTCTCAAAAGGAGAAGGAGCGCCGCCAAGTTATTTAGTGCACCTGACTTTATCTACAGAAAAGGAGTAAATAAGGAAAAAGGGAGAAATAAAATATATATAAAAACCGCATGGCAATAAAATGTAATTTTCTGAGATTTCTCTTTTGTCTGCTTGCCGCGCTGCTTGCAATTGCAAATTGATAAATACATTTACTGCGGCAGAATGGGAGTAGTTTTATATACATATCCGTACGTTTATAACATGTGCTGATTATACACACAGAGAAAGTGAGTTTTCTAAAGTATTTACG